TGGACTTCAACTCCCAGAATTCCCCAGCCAGCATCAGCTGATGCTGGCTGGGGAATTCTGGGAGTTGAAGTCCATACATCTTCAAACCACCAAGGCTGAGAAACACTGCCTTAATCCTTTGTAAACTACAGCTGCAATCTTACAACTACACAAAAGCTAACAAGTGATGAGAGCCCTTTAAGAATGTTGCTCAGAAGCATCAGTGGTAAAACTACATATTTCTTTTCTCAAAAATATTACAGCTGGATCTCCCTTTCACCACAAAAGGGCAGGATATATATGTTTGAGGGGAAGTAAAGATTATGTAAACCAAGCAAGGGAATATGGGTGGAGGGTCTAGTTTCTAAAATAAAAGTGGAGGAAGGAAAGCTGGACCCACCCCATGTTACATTTCTGTGGTCTGCTGGTTCAAATCCTTTTCTTTCAGCTTTTGGTGTGCTTCACTTGGAGGAACAACTATCCCAATCTATCCTATTAATCTTGCAGGCTGGGGATGATGGGAATTGTAATCCAAAGTATTGGTGTGGGGGGGGGGAGATACAAGATTAGAAGAGGCTGCCTCAGGGGAAATGAAGATGATTTTCCCCCCTAAAGCAGGTAAGAATTTCTTGCCAATAGAGCTTTTGTATTGAAATGCTACAGCTTGTACAGTTGCATCTGTAGAGTTGCTGTAAGAATACAGAATCTGATACTGGCTCATTTCTCTATGAGTTGTCACTTTTGATCCTTTAAAAAAAATCTAGATTCTTGGAATGCCAAAAGGAAGTATACTTTAGAAATTAGTCTACATCATTCTCTTTCCTCACTGTCCTCCTGCAATGCTAAGTCAACAATGATGTGAAAGGAATACATGATGTCCCATTCAGGAAATGTGTGCAATGCAGAATGCAGGAAATATATTCTGAAACTCAGAAATGGGTACTTTATTGTCAGGGTGCTGGGTTGAAGAGTACAGAATTCACACAGTCTGGATCCTTTATTTTGAACTTCTGACGCCCCACTCTGCTGTTGTTTAGAAGAGCCATGAAGACCTGGCTATTCACCCAGGCCTTTGATGAGGGAGAGAGAGACCTCTCACTTCATCATACTTGCCATCTTTTATCTTTTATTGATTTTATTGTAATTTCTTTGATTGTTGTGAGCTGCCCAGAGTTATTAAGAATCAGATGGCGTACAAATAATAATAATTGACAAAAATGACCGTCAATAGCAAAAGGCAGCTTTACTTGGAACAGCTTATATCCTGCGATGATACCTTTAACATCATCAAACAACATCTGCCTACCCCAGGTCCTTGGGAAGGACTTGATAGGTGGATAAAAATGCCAAATCCAGTCTAAACATCTGGCTGACTGAGCGACCAACAATAATAATTACAAACCAAAGTTGTATAGAATCTTGCCCTGACATGATGGAGATGGTTTCCATAGTGAGTCACTACTGACCATAAACTCTGAAACAATCTTTAAGAGATCCTGTCTTGCGGGCCAAAGGTTCTATCATTCTTCTCCATGACGGCTCCTTTCTCACGAAGGTTGGTTGTCTCTTTCAGATCGTCCAAGGACAGTGATTTTCAAGGTTACCCAAACTCATAGAAGAGGCTCCACACTCACTCAAGGTACTTTAGGATGCAACCATGAGCAGGATACCTCTTTTCTGGGATGCCACTGGCTGGCTCAAAGAAGGCTCTCTAGCTCTTTTATGGAAATGATGCTGCTTTACTCTGGTTTCAGGTTGCTCCAGGGATCTGGCCACTGACTCTGAGTTGACAGCCCAAGAAGGTGACTTACTGGGGCTGTTCTGCAAGGCAGATAGCAATCCTCCAGCTAAGACTAGTTGGGTGAAGAGTGGCAGCCACTTGCAGAACCCTTCAGAAGATAACCAGTTGGAACTGACCAATCTGACCATTGAAGATGAGGGTGTATATGCGTGCAAAGCTACAAACTCATTAGGCTTTGTTCAAGGGAACATCCGGCTCAACGTGGCATGTGAGTGAACCATGATCACTGTTAACCTCTGGCAGTCCCTTCTAGATGGAAGATATTAAAGCTGTTGACCCCTTGAGCTATAGGACATTACTCATCCTTGGCTGAAAGCTAGCCAAGATTCAGTTCTGCTGCACTGGTCACCAAGAGAGATTGCTTGCTACCACAAGCCAAGCAGGACATTCATAACAAGGGAGGCCAAATGAGGGTGGAAGGCTTATAATAGGACAGTGAGACTCTTATCAATGATACTTTTGCCACTATGGTAGCCCTATGATTGAAAAAACCATGGCACCTCATTTCGTTTCATTTAGAGAAGCTAAAGTCTTGTAAATTTGCTAGAAAGTCTATTCTTACTTTTGAATTATATGGCTCTTTTGCTCTTTTCCAGATGCCCCCAAGCTCAGCAGAAGCCCACAGAAAAATACAACATGCTGTTATCACAACCATGGTTTCCTGTGCAGTTGTTCCCTGCATGGTCAGCCTCCTCCCCAAATTGAGTGGGAGGTGGATGGGGAGAGGATAACCAAGGAGAGCAGCAGAAGACAAAACCTGGTAGTCCAAGCTTTGATCCAGAGGAATGAGGTTACCAGTACCTTAAACTGGACTGGCAGCCTAGATAGAGCTCATAATATTATCTGCTTCGGGAGCAATTCTTATGGAATCCATACCATGCAATTCCTGTTGAACGCCCTGAGAGACCCAACTTCAGAATCTTCTATAGGTAAGGGGCTCCACCAGGATGTGTATAATGGTACAGTATGTGGGAATGACCTTGGGAGACAGGAAGAGCTGCAACCTAGCAGTGGTCCTAAGGTGGTCCTAAGTGGTCCTAAGTGAAATCTGGGTCCTAAGGAGGGGTGGAGGTGGAGAAAGCAACTCCCTAGTTTTTGGGAGAGTAAAAGTAAGGGAGGGGAGAGGTACTTTCAGACTTGCAAGATTCTGTTACTGTAACCTTACAATAAAGATAGTGTTAGTACTCATGGTTGGTGCTTCTTGTCTGGATTTCCTTGAAGGGCTGACGGTGTGACATCTCATGCAACACCAAAAAAAATCCAAAGAGCTAGATTTGCACTTCATCTCTAGGAATAATTGACTTGTATCAGCCTCACTAGGTAAACCAGACCAGGAAATCAACTTCACAGGAAGGCTAAAACTACTTTTATTGAGTTTGACTATACCTGATTATGTTGTACCTCCTCCTCTTCTTATACTTTAACGAATCAGGAGGTGTCTGCCTGAACTGCTTCCAAATGTTATCTTGTAGTTCTGGACTTAAAAAATGTTTTAGCCCCTTTCGCCTAGGTAATGGGCCTTGCATATTTCCACCAAGGTCATCTTCTGTCAGTTTCCAGACTAGGAAACCAGTGTTAGGAATGCTAATACTACTTTTATTATAGGGTTATAGTAAACAGAATCTTGCAAGTCTGAATGCACCTGCCCCCTCCCTGCCTTTATCTCCAAGAGAACTAACTTTCTCAAACTACATTTCTGCCCCAGACTCAAATTTCTTTTATCTAACCATTGGCTAGGCTGTGGACTCTTCCTCCTGTTCCTCAAGATTATTCTTATAGCCCATTACATCTTTCTTGCTCTCAACAAACCCAGGGTCAATTTTGAGCTAGGGAGGCCTTATAAATCAATGTTATAAATCAATTACAAATAAAGACTTTACCTCCACCCCCCACTCTAACTGCTTCTTCATCCTGGCAGAAAGGAAAGTCACTTAAGGAGATGTTTTATTATTTACATTCATGAAGATTACCGTGCACGCTCTTTCTCTCTTTTATTTTATTGCATATCGAACATTAAAGGAAGAGAATTCCTGTTATTCTTTGAAGCAGTGTAGACATATTGTCTCTGAGTTTTAAATGGCTAATTTGTGATCTTTTGTCAAATCTTGTTTATGAAATTTGCTGGAGGGCTCTTGCAGAGAAGTAGTAATGAGAGTGACTCTATGGACGAATAGGGCAAGAAAGATGCCCTCTCTGATCACCTCTTCCTGACATGTAGGGGTGCCCATAGAATGTGGTCAAAAAAGTCAAGTTGTGATGCACATAAAAAGCAGGTAGAGCTTCAATCACACCATTGTGACTGGTATTTTCACTTTTTTGACCATGCCCTGCTGACACCCCTGCTGATGTCTATCAGCTTCCTTCTTTTATCTCATCTTAGTTTTCACCATCAACTAAGGGGGAAGTCAAGATGGAAGTTGCTCCTTCATCTTGTATTTTCTGCTGCTTCATGGTTGCAAGAAAAGAGAAATGCGGAAAAGGAATGGCAGGACAAGGGGGTGAGCTTCAGAGGGAAAGAGTTGGAATGTGGGTCATGTAGGATACTCTCTGGCGTTAGCCACAAACTGCAGTGGGCCTGCCAGTTGAGCTCTTGAAATTTCTCATTCTGCTATTTGTACCTATCCATAATGTCCCCTGGGAAAAGCTGGGGGAGAAAGAGAAGAAAGCTCTCCAGAATTTGGGAAAATAAACACTTTACAATAGGAGCATTTTTTGAAAACTTTGCCATCTCAAAAGATGACAGGCTTATAGCAAAAGCAAAACAAAAAACAAGAATGGGCTTTGTCATCATAGCAGATCTGTTTTTGTAGAGAATCAAGGAGGTGACCTTGACGGAAATAGGCAAGAACTGTTACATATGCAAAGAGGGTTGAAACAGTCCTGACATCCCTTGAAACAAGATAATATTTGGAAGAGATTCAGGCAGGCTCCTCCTTGATTCACTGGGATATAAAAGGGAGGGGAGGTAATCAGGCTTGCAAAGATTTATGTCAGCCCTTTGGAGTAGATCCAATCAGGAAACTGACTCTAGAGGAAGACTTGAACTACACTTCATTGAGATTGGCTATAACAGAATCTTCCAAACCTGACTGTGTTTTACTTCCTTTCCTTATATCCCAGTGAATCAGGGAGAAGGCTGCCTGAGTCTCTTCTGAACACTTTCTTGTTTCCCAGAACTGAAGGATGGTTTCAGCCCTCGTTGTTTATATAATGGTTCTTGCCTGTTCCCTTCAAGGTCATCTCCTTGATTCTCTATAGTTTTGGGAACAGAGGAGCAGGAGGGTTACCTAAAATTTCCTAATTTTCTACCACACTGTTACCAGGCTTCCTAATTTCCAGGCCTGGTTTTCTCCAAAGTTCTTGGTTTATTGTTGCAGGAAGATCTAATACAGCTTTGTTCATTGCTGCACTATGTGGAACTTTGCTGGGAGCTGGAATCATGCTGGGCTTATACCTGATCAGGTGAGTTTCTCTCTCTCATTCTTTCCTTGGATCTCCTCTCTCCAGGCCATTATATTGTGGCATGATTAATAAAATCACAAATAACTAGCATCAATATATAAAACTCAGTATAAGTTGATCATAGCCAGCCCATCACAGATTTTACAGATCCTGCCCTGGTCCCACCTTCCAGATTCTAGGTTTTCAATACATAATGGTGAAATTCAGAAGCATAATTAAATGTGGACAATCATTATGTTTCAGATCTAGTTGATTTCAGCAGAGAGTTACGATGCTGAAAAAATTGCTAATTGTTCTATTGTCCACATGGTTGCAGAACTGGGCCAACATACTAATTACTATCATTTATGTGCATTGATACTTGACTGCAGAAAGATGAAAGGGGAATGTAAGTAGTGGAAAAGATAGGGAATACGTGTCGATGGATGTGTGTGTGTGTGTGTGTGCTTAAAAATGATTCAGATGAGGTATTTCAGTGCATGCAGCAGCATTGGTACAGCATCTCTTTAAAACAGCCACTTTTTCAGGCTTTGTCACAGAGCTGCTTTAATGATCCACATTAAATTTGCAGCTCCCTGAATCAATCACCTGCTTAAAGCAGCCACATCTCTCTTCAGGCTTGTGTAGAAGCCTGAAAAAAGATCCATACTTTTTCATGCATGGAGTAGATCCAGTAGAATAAATGACATCTGCCACTAATTTTAATGGGTCTACTTTAGACAGGACTAAAGTTTGGATCTACCCCAAAGTAGGTAGCAGCTAGGTTTGTATTGTTCGGGAATTTGTTTGAAATCTGATTGATATCACTGGGGCCTACTCCCAAGTAGGGGTATCTCCAATATGGTCATGTATGCTTGACTCCAGATGCTCAGCATAAACTACCCATCTGTCATTGTCACATTTGGGAACAGCCAAAGTATGATCCGCCCCACTATGGTGACACTATCTGAATCCTTAGAGTTTATGTAGTATATGCAAAGACAGTGAGCTTCCACCCAATATGATTAAAATTTCAATTTTAATGGAGTGTTACATCATTAATAAGAGAAAGAGACAGAAAAATAATGGATGTAAACATATTAGGGAATGGACATAAGCAAAAAGTTGGGGATTAAGACTTAGCACAAGAGATCAGCTTTAGGAGGAAAAAAAAAGAGAAGTTGGTGGCTTCATGTTCTGGAATAACTATTGCTGTAGTATTGGATTCCTGTAGTAGCAGAGGGTTGGACTAGATGAGGGGGTCCCCAAACTCTTCAGTTCATTGGCCTCTTCATGAAATTTCTGATTGTTCATTGACCCCCAAACATTTATTGTATGAAAATAATTTAATAAACACTACTATAATTAATAGCACTACAAATAATAATAATAATGACCCCTTGGATAATCCCATAGTGTTGTTAGTTAAAGTAGTATTTATTACCCCCTGGATCATCCCATTGACTCTTGGAGGTTGATACTGACCACTTTGGGGAACCCTGGACTAAATAGTCTCCCTGGTCCTTTCATCCCTTCCATTCTATGATTCCATGGATGTATAAGAGCCTAACATTCTCCCATTGACTTGCTGCCAGGGTTTATAAGCAGAAAGAAGCAATGTCAAAAGTAGAACCTGTCGAAGGAACCCTTTCTGAAATAGGACATCGTGAGAGACCCAAGAACCCCAGTCAGATCTACAGCAACATTTTCCCTATGGTAGGTTTCATATGTTGCTATTCTGTGCCCCCGCATCTGGAAAATGAAGGCAGTGGTCAGTTCAAGCTAGACCAAACCAGAATCAAGGCCTTTCTTCTCAAACTGGATTTCATTACCATCTTCCGGGACTCTGTTCCAAACCACGGATCCATCTTAAGAATGCAAAATGACTGTTCAAAGGTAGGTGCCAGGGATCCTGTCAAAATCAAACCTAACCAAAGCACATCTCATCTCTATGGCTGGATTTACTCTTCTGTTCATATAAAGTCAGTCCTTGCTGTCCTGGAAAGATCCTAGATGAGGGAGTTGCAAAAGGTAACCAAACGGTGCTTCTATTTTACCGTTATTATTGTAATCCTTTCAAAAGCCAACACTGCATGTCTTTAGGTCAAGCTGTAACCCTTCCTCTCACTGTAGCTGGCCAGAAAAGTGATCTTTGTTGCTTTTGTAAGAGAACCTTTATATCAGTGAAAAGAACCTTGCACAAAGATACATTAAAAAGCCAATGTATTGAAAAGTGACCCAAAATATTGAAAGCCTAGATCAGCCAGCCTATGTCCAATAGTCTTTTGGAAACCATCAAGCCCCTTCTGAAATCAGGCAGCTTCCTGGTATTTTAAAAATGTTTTCTAAATCCCTTCAGGTTTGGAAGCATTGCATTGAGGTAATTAAAAGAAAAAAAAAGTTTTTAAAAAAAATTCTAGACATTTCAGTTCTAACCTCACCCACTTTGGGGAAGGTGTCTCCTTTTATGCCACTGAAACTCCAGATGTGGCCCAATCTTCAGGAAAGTGAGGCATTGACACACATTAACATGTCAGGGAGTCAAGCGCAGTTATGCTTTTTTTCATTGCCATTTTAAATATGCTGCTGCCAAGCCACTCTCAGGAAGGGGTGATGATGATGATGATGATGTTGATGATGATGATGATGATGATGGTGTAGTTGAACACCATCGACATTGACAAAATCACCATCAGTCAATTGCAAAAGGCAGCTTGACTTGGAACAGCTTCCATCCTGTGACGATGCCTTGAACACCATCAAACAACATCTGCCTATCCCAGGTCCTTGGGAAGGACTCGATAGGTGGATAAAACTGCCAAATCTAGTCTAAACCTCTGGCAGACTGTGCAACCAACAATCATGTATTAAAGTTATATGTTGCTCCACTCCCAGCGGCTCAAGTCATCAAGGAAGCAAGAATGACAGAGACTTCGATGAAGTGTTTTTAATGCAAGGATCTGTGGAAACTTCACACCCTCATTTATTAATGAGTTCATTAAGGCTGAGTGTCTTTAAATATTCTGAATTTCGTTTTGCAGCCTGGACTGAGCTGCTGTTTATGAGATATTAGCAAATTTCTCTCCTATCTCTTGGTTGTTTATGTCCAATAATCACTTAGAAAATAAGATGATAATAAGGAAAAGAACTGGTTTTTCTTCCTCTCTCCCAGAACGTTGTTCCTTTCTTTCAGGGTCCAAGATTACACCAGATCGATCAGCCAAAAGTTGCTGGAGAAAGGAAGCCAAATCCAGCCCAGGTTCCCAGTGTTCCAAGGAGAGCTGAGCCAGATGAATTGCAGTACGCAACCCTAGAGTTCAAGGTGAAAAGTAAAGAAGTTCCAGTCTCAAGAAGTGACAATGTAGAATATTCAGCAATCCAAAGAAAATAAAGTCCTTGGAAGTGAATGCTAGCCTTCAAAGAAGCAAGAGAGAAAAAAGATTGACATTTTTGAACTTTGGTGCTGGAGAAGACTCCTGAGGATACTGTGGATAGCCAAGAAAATGAACAAATGGATCAACAAACAAATCAACCTAGAGTTATCATTCAAGGTACAAGTGACCAGGCTCAAATTATCTATTTCAGACACATTATGAGAAGACCTAGCTCTCTGGAGAAGCCCGTAATGCTGGGGAAAGAGAAGGATGACCAGCAGCAAGGGGGAGGGACTCCGTTACAGCGGCAATGGGGGCACTGTTGAAAGACCTAAAGGACCAAGTTAGGGACAGATCATCCTAGAGAAAATCTACCTATGTGGTTGTTAAGAATCGACATGGACTTGATGGCACATAATCAGTCCTAAGAAACAGCACAGTGTAATGAAGATAGGGCTACTAGATCAGAACTGCAATAATCCAGATGATTACTAGATGGTAGAAAAGAAGATCAAGTCTCTGTCTGCTGCCACGTAGAGATATCCTAATCACCAGAATATGAATATGAATACACACACACATATACGTATATGCACATTCATACATACATTCATATACTAGAGAGAGAGAGAGAGAGAAATCTCTGGGCAACTTGGATTCTAAAGATGATGAAGCTGAAAATAAACTAAATAAGGGACCATTTTTTGTGGGAAACGTTCCATTTGGGTCATGAATCATGGCAGGTAATATACAAATTCATTAAAAGGCTCAGAAAGAAGAAAAGTGATGCTTATTTGGTGGAGAGCCAGTGTGATATGTGGAATAATGGTTAAAGGGTTGGGCTGGGACTGGAGAGATCCAGATTCAGGTCCCCACTCTATCATGGATCTGAATGGGTGACTTTGGGTCAGTCACTGTCTCATCCTAGCTATCTCACGGGGTTGCTCTTGTAAGGACAAAAGGGAGGAGACACTTCTCTCTCCCTCCCGCCGCCAATAAGCTAACCTGAAATTGTGATAGACATAGATATAATAAACCACAAAGCAACAGACATGAAGTATCGCTCAAAACATAACTTTTTATACCATCCTGTCAGTTGGTACACAACCATGGTCAGTTGTGTTTTACTAGAAACATTTGACAACAGGGCACTTTTACAGCAAACAATAAACTTTCAGGATGCCAAATTTCTCTCATCATAAAAGTTTCCATCTCAGCCAAGAATAAACCCATGACATTAAATAATCCACGGTGAGGTATATATTCTTTTAGATCACAAGCATCCTTTATTAATATTTAATAACATGGAAACAATTTAAAATTTTTTATGCCTCTTGTTTTAAAATAAAGCCCCCCCCCCCCCCCGAAACACTTAGGAATAAGGTGGGTTATAAATCTGATTCCATGGATCTTTCATGGAAACTGATTTATAACCCCCACTATTCCTAAGTGGTTCTGCTGGGGGGGGGGGGTTTATTTTAAAAAAAGAGGCATAAAAAATTTTAA